CAGCTCCACCTTCGGACGCCTCCGTAGAGCCGAGTGGTCCTTACCCAGAGCTAGTGGGCTGCCTCATGTACCTGATGACCTGCACTCGTCCTGACCTTGCGTACCCTCTTGGCCTTCTGGCACGCTACGTGGCTCCTGGTCGGCACCGAAAGGTGCATATGGATGCTGCTAAGAGGGTACTACGCTACTTGTGCAGTACATCGGGCATGGGGCTCGTGCTTGGAGGACTGAGCGACGTTGTCCTCACTGGGCACTCAGACGCTTCTTGGGTTGACGACCAGGCTACGCAGCGGTCGTCACAGGGTTACACCTTCAGCCTTGGCTCTGGTTCGGTTTCTTGGCGTTCTACACGCTCGTCTTCAGTTCTCAGCTCCAGTTGTGCACAGGAGTTACGCTGGCTCACCTACCTGCTGACCGACTTGGGAGAGCGGCCTCGTTCTCCTCCAGTGCTGTACGTCGACAACAAGGCCGACATTGCCTTGTGTCAGGAGCACAGACAAGAGGAGCACAGACTGGAGCACGGAACGAAGCACATCGCTCTGCGTTACTTCCTGGCTCGAGAGTTGCAGCAGCGTGGTCAGCTTCGTCTTGCTCACGTGGCCAATCGGGCCAACACTGCTGATATATTCACCAAGGCGCTTCCGTCTGGTGATCATCAGCGTTTTTGCACTCTGTTAGGCCTTGTGCCCACGCTTCCTCACTTGCTGTAGACTTTGCTTGTACGGTGATCTATATATATACCTGCATGCTTGCTCTGCTAGGTAGAGATCACTGTGCTGTTGTTGTTGCATACATACCTCTGCATGTGAACTGGCCTTGTGGCCCTTTGCTTGTGCTCAGTATGTGTGGTGACGTTGTGATCCACCCTGAGCTTGCTTTGCTTCTCTTGACTGGTCTTGTGACCCCTTGCTCTCCCCCACTTTGCCTATGGGGGTGTGTCAAAGTATATGCCTGTGTCATAATAAAATGTAGGCTTTAGTGGGGTAGCTAATGTAGGGTATAGGTTTTGTTACTTGTACCCAACTTTCTCGATAGTGCAACCATCCTTTATCTTTACTCTCGACACCTCCTTGGGGAGGAGGGTAGTGTAAGGAAAATTCCTTTTCCTTACTTCGCGTCCCTGCTTACCGCGTACATGTCCATTCCCGCCATCGGCACCCATCCGTGAACGTTACCCGCTCGCGACATTCGCCTCGGTTGGTCCGTTAAGCAAGATTTGCGCCAACGCACCCGGGTTTAGGGCGTTCCTGTTTGTCAAACAGCCTAACAACAATTCTACCCTGGTACAATAAGTGTAACAGGATTTTTTGGCTGTTTTAGGCTACTGGCATCAGGGTACGGAAATTTTTACCCTAAGGGTCAGGGTACGGGGGGCCTGGTACCCTGATTTGCAAGAGTGGACCTAAACCTATTTTGGGCCCTGGTTTTCCTGCTGCCATCTATCGTAAGAAACAAGCTGTATTAGAATTTTGAAAGAATTACGAAAAAGGCGTTCTACACGCCCCATTCGTAACCTAAGCGAGGACCTGTATTAACGCATACATTTTTCGTTCAGTGTTTGTATGACGCGGTTTCCATCGGTCAAACACGTTAGGAAGCGGCCCTAGTTCCACCGTAAAAGATTGCACATAGAATCATTTGTATTTTTGTATTAGTGATAGTTTCTGTGTGATTGATGTTTTCTACAGTCCATGATTAAGTGGCGACGTTGGGCCCACCGCATGTGGTCAGCCGTCCGATCGACATCACCAGACAAGATGAGTTTGAGAATTGCCGAAGCTCCGCCATTCACCTTGATCAGGCTCTGGACTCTGGGCTCTGGAGCGCAGTTCTTGCACCCGCGCAAACACCAACATGGCGCACGTTTCCCGCTGCGCACTTCCGTGAGCGATCGTCGTGAATTCGCGAACGGGAGGTTTCGTGTTCAGCACCACCGCTGGGCGAATCTCTGATTTTGAAGTCAGTGCGCAGGGTTACTGCGCCAGTTCCGCACTGAAACTTGGCGCGCAGATTCATCTGGCGCGCGGTCCCGTCACTGCACTCCGCGCTCCGCTTTTGTCAAATTTCTATGCGCATGCCGTGGGCGAAATGTTTTCCAAGCATTCCAGGGTTGAAAATAGCCGACGTAAAAGCGGTGCGAAGTGAGAGAACAGCCTGGTTACTGCCGTTTTCACCCGTTTTTGGCGAAACCCAGCGCTTAGACTCCGGACGCTAAATCCGGAGACATCTCTTTCTGCCCATAAATCACAGTTTGACGCGCTAGCCCTCCTCTCCCCCCCGCCACTTTCTGCCACCCGACGCCGCCTGGCGCAATCCTTTCCCCACCCACTGACACCACTTTGGTTTGGCGCTGGTGGCGGAACGTCACCCTCGAGCCAGCACCACTCCCCAATCCAGCAAGCGAGAGTCAGCACTTTGGGTTGACCCTGGTCACCCTCGAGCCAGCACTACCTCCATCCACATCCAGCCTGAATCAGGCACCTCTCCCGACCGAGTGACTTCCCACATTCCCAAGGCCCTTCCACTCGCTTTCTCCCGCATTCTCATCATGCCAACTTCCTGCTCCAGGCCGCCATGAATTCCATGATCCATGTACTTTCGCTACGGCTTCCGTCTACGTGGAGTAATTCCGTTCGTTACAAAACGACACTGATAGTGTTTTTAACGGTGGTTTAGTTCGACATGTCCTGGAGTTCCGCTAAGCTGTTATCCAGCCTAAACAGCTCGACGGTTAGATTCACCCTGGAGGCGGCTCCTATCTCAGTATTATATTAAACAGCGTCTGTGATCCCTACGGATCGTACGCCACTACTTTAGCCTTAATCGTCAAAATCTTTCAGTGAACTGTTAGGGTAGCAATGGACGGCTTATTTCAGTCAGAGATGTTGGCAGAATCAGCGACGGCAGGTACCTTCGTGGCATCATCTGCAGCTCGGGTGTCGCGCGGGGTGTTTCTGCTTCAACCGAGCGACGACGGACAGACGACGACGGACAGGCGACGACGGACAAGCGACGACGGACAAGCGACGACGGACAAGCGACGACCGTCAAGCGACGACGGACAAGCGACGACGGACAAGCGAAGCTCGTGAAGCAATGCTCCCAACGGCCTTTCGATTTAATTCCGGGATGCTCCCTACGGCTTCATCCCTACGGCTTCATCGTCGACGTATCCTGATGCTCTTCTTCTTGGAGCCTCAGCTATGGCTTCCCGGCCGTATATTTCGTGGCATCATTGACAAATTATATCACGGAGATTTCACGGATCTGTCTTCTTATTCGTGTCATGTGATGAAGCCGGCGAGCGACGAGCTGTTAACGAAAGGCGACTTTGCTGACGAGGAGGCGAAAGGCGATGACCGACGAGCATCAACCTCGGAGAAGCGAAGAGCGGAATCAGAGAGCGGGTATGCGAGAAGCGGAATCAGAGAGCGTAAATGCGACGAGCGGAATCAGAGAGCGTAAATGCGACGCAACCGTGTGCGAAACGGCGACTTGCTGCGTGCGACCGTGTACGGGACTGCGACTTGCTGCGTGCGACCGTGTACGGGACGGCGACTTGCTGCGTGCGACCGTGTACGGGACGGCGACTTGCTGCGTGCGACCGTGTGCGCGACGGCGACTTGCTGCGTGCGACCGTGTGCGCGACGGCGACTTGCTTCGTGCGACCGTGTACGGGACGGCGACTTGCTGCGTGCGACCGTGTGCGCGACGGCGACTTGCTGCTTGCGACCGTGTGCGGGACGGCGACGACCTGCGTGCGACCGTGTGCGGGACGGCGACGAGCTGCGTGCGACCGTGCGCGGGACGGCGACTTGCTGCGCGCGATCGTGTGCGGGACGGCGACTTGCTGCGTGCGACCGTGTGCGCGACGGCGACTTTCTGCGTGCGACCGTGTGCGCGACGGCGACTTGCTGCGTGCGACCGTGTGCGGGACGGTGACTTGCTGCGTGCGAGCATGTGCAAAAAGGACGCTGCTGGCGAGGAGGCGCAGCTGATGAACGGACGTCGTTCATACGAAGCTCGTGATTTTTTTACGAGGAATTCCTCCATGGTAAGTTGAGGCAATGTTTCATCACATTGCATATTGAAACCTTGAGTGATGTTTCTTCATTTTCTTCTATTTTGTTAGCATTCAGTGAATGTTCAGGTACTAATGCTGTCCTGTTTGACCTGTGCAGGTCCAAGGCCTGCTGCTCCTACTGCACCTGAGGCTGAGCCTGAGGAAGCGACTACTGCACCTGCTGCACCTGAGGCCAAGGAAACGACTGCTGCACCTGAGGGTGAGGAAACGGCTTTGCTGCGTGCTGCTGAACGACTGCTGCTGAACGACTGCTGCTGAACGACTGCTGCTGAATGACTGCTGCTGTACGACTGCTGCTGAACGACTGCTGCTGAATGACTGCTGCTCTACGACTGCTGCTGTACGACTGCTGCTGTACGACTTGTGAGTTGCACTCAAGGGAGCTGGCGACTTGTGAGTTGCACTCAAGGGAGCTGTCGAGCAGCAAACTGCGGTAGCGGCGAGGAGGACAGAGGCGGACGGAGCGACGGCTGAGGCGAGGAGGAACGGGCGCCGCTGCCTCGACCCCTGCCTGCTGAAATAAGGCTAAGATATCTCGATTATTCACGCACTTGTTGGCACTCATTCGCACTTGCTCGCTTCCGCCCTCATAGCCGCCTCCTCCTCCTCGCGCCACTCGTTCCTCCTCCTCCAGCTCGCACCGGCGCCACCATTGGACCATTCCCCAGGTGTGTTCAGGTAACGGCGGCATCATGCGTAAGTAGGTGTGTTCAGGTACGGTACGGTCCTTTGGTGCCCGCCCTGCAGCTGCCACCCACCACCCCGCCTGCGCTGCCGCTGCCGCTGCCGCTGCTGCTGCCGCTGCCGCTGCCGCTGGCACTGTCACTCACTCCGCTGCACTGTCACTGCCACTCACACCACCTTCACCTGATGCGTGCTTTCCAGCTTTAATCGTCTTGCATTTTTCGTTGCTTACATGTATGCTTGTCAGTTTTCCATATCTCTTACTAATCATTTGCCCGCCCTCTCCTCCAGCCCACATCCTCTGCTTGCACGCCTACAGGCCGGCACACGCCATACGTGGGGGGCAGCAGCGACGGGGAAGCAGCGACGGGCGAGGCAGCAAGGGGGAAGCAGCGACGGGCGAGGCAGCGAGGGGGAGGCAGCAAGGGGGAGGCAGCGAGGGGGAGGCAGCAAGGGGGAGGCAGCGAGGGGGAGGCAGCAAGGGGGAGGCAGCGAGGGGGAGGCAGCAAGGGGGAGGCAGCGAGGGGGAGGCAGCAAGGGGGAGGCAGCGAGGGGGAGGCAGCGAGGGGGAGGCAGCAAGGGGGAGGCAGCGAGGGGGAGGCAGCGAGGGGGAGGCAGCGACGGCTCTGGTGGGATGGCTTTCGCCGCCGCGGCCAACGGTGGGTTACCTGAATCTCTATGCTTGCCGTATTCCGTTTTGTTTCGCTCTGATTTGCTCTTCGGGCTTCCGTTGTGTTCATTGGCTTGCTAATCGCCCGCTTCATTTTTCCGTCTGTGCTAATAATCTGTTTTTTTTCTTTCGCTGCAGCGCGCTCTTACGCGATCAATTCGGAGTACAGCGCGCTCTTACACGAGGTGCCTTCTCTCCTCGGGCGAGGCGCCTCTCCTCGAGTTTCAAGTCGTGGTGGGAGTGTCGTTCCACGTCCGTAGCGGCGACCCGCGCCTTCGACGCCGCGGCCAACGGTGGGCTACCTGAATCCTTATACTTGCCTTGATCCGTTTCTTTCGCGCTATCGTTTCCTGATTTGCTCTTCTGGCTTCCGTTGCTGATCGTCCGTCTTTCATATTTCCGTTCGTGCTAATAATTTTGTTTTGTTTTTCCTTTCTTTCTTTCACTGCAGAGATCACTGGACCGCTGCTCCTGAGCACTGCTGCCCAACGGCTGCTGCCGAACGACTGCTTGCCAACGGCTGCTGCCGAACGACTGAGGCGAGGAGGAATGGCGCCACTGCTGCCGCACCGGAGGAACTTGTGAGTTGCCTTCCCTTTGTTGCGTTCCCTACGTTAGCTGAATCTGTTTTTTAGCACCTTCAGTATTGGAAGCTGAATCTGTTTTCTTTTAGCACCTTCAGTATTGGAAGCTCAATGTGTTTTTTGGCACCTTCAGTATTGGAAGCTGAATATGGTTTTTTTTAGCACCTTCAATACGTTGCCACCGTCCATTGTTTTATTATTTCCTTGGTTCCTTTGTTCCTCTCCCCCATCTCTTTCCACCCTTTTCAGAGCGCAGGGCAAGCAGCAAGGCAGCGTGTGCCTGCCTGCCCTCTCCACACCGGCAGCAGCAAGGCCAGGAGGCAACGCTGTTGGTGAGGATGCGACGCGATGACGCGAGGAGGTGAAGGTGCTGACTTGCGCAGCTGAGGAGGCGAGGAGGCGACAAGGAGGCAAGGGGCTGCTGGCGAGATCCCTACCCGCCCAGCTTATGTGCGTTTTGCTCTCACCGCCTTGTTTTCTTTTGAAGCAATGCCCTTTCGCTTCATTGCCCTGGCTGGTTCATTGTCCCTATCGCTTTTCTCGTGCGCTGGCTCACCTCCTTGTCTCCACGTGCTCCCCTCCCCGTCCTTGCAGAGGCACAGGGCTAAGGTGACACTGGGGCACAACGCATGGGCGTGGGGAGGCCAGGAGCTGCAGAGGAGGTGCAGAGGAGAGGAGGTGCAGAGGAGAGGAGGTGCAGAGGAGAGGAGGTGCCAGAATCACTGACTGGCGGGGCTCCTCTGCCATTCACCTTGTAAGTTGCCCTCCACCACTCGTTCCGCCCTGGTGCATTGAAATCTTAGCGTCCTTTTTTCCTGTTTTTGTCAGATCCGAATAGCCAGGGACTGATGCTGTGCTCTGTGACTTGTGCAGGTCGCCCATGCACTTGAGGCGAGGAGGCAGAGGTAGCTACGGGGCGGTGGGATGACGCACGGCCTGGGCGTGCCCTGCTGACCACCGCTGTCCCTGCATGCACCTCCCGGCAGCAGCAGCAGCAGACATTGGACATTGAGCCATTGGTTTGGACATTGGTTTGGACATTGGTTTGGACATTGGTTTGGACATTGGTTTGGACATTGATTTGGACATTGGTTTGGACATTGGTTTGGACATTGGTTTGGACATTGGTTTGGACATTGGTTTGGACATTGGTTTGGACATTGGTTTGGACATTGGTTTGGACATTGGTTTGGACATTGGTTTGGACATTGGTTTGGACATTGAGGCTTGGATTGGACATTGGCTAGCTAGGGGCAGTGCCCTGAGGCAAGCGGGCAGAGGCCCGAGCGTGTGAGGCAAACGCGGCAACGGCAGGGGCGAGCTCGACTGGTGAGTGCATGCTTGCAGCCAGGTGTGTGCACGGGCGTGGGTACGCGCTCGTACGTTGCTGCAGCGCCTTCAACGCGCCACCTTCGGGACTAACGAGACTCCGCCTTGCTGCAGACTGCAGCACCTACAGCGCCCCACACTCACGGTACGTCGCTCGCCGTGTTCCCGTCTTTCCTTGTTGCTGCTGTCTCTTCTTTCTTCGCTCCGTTCGCTTCCTTGCTTGTTCACGGTTCCTCGACTCACCACCGTGCTTGCTGTTCCATGCAGCACACTCAACGCAAGCGCATGCAAAGGGAGGGGAAGCGTGTGGGCGTGTGGCTGACGTGGACGGCACGTGGCTGAGGTGGACGCGAGCGTGTTGGGAAGACGCACGGCCGGCAGTCACAGGCGTGTGGCTGCCTCCTACCCGCCCTGCTGACCACGCGCTCGCAGGCAAGGCGCGGCGGAGGAGGCGAGGAGCAGGCGAGGTTGAGTGGAGCGATGGGTGGGTGGAGGAGGATGGATGGGTGCTGCACTGCACCTGTGCGCACGGCTGGAGGGGCGGAGGCTGCTGCACTGCACCTGTGGGATGGCGGCAGTGGGATGACGCACGGCAGGCACCACTGCTGCCCTGCTGATCACTGCTCGCCTGTGGAGGAACGGCGAAGCGAGGAGGGAGAAGTGCCGCTGCTGGCGAGCGCGCGTGCATGCAGCTTCGACCCCTCCTGAATACGGCTAAGAGATCTGCCTTCTGTTGATATTTTCACGCTCTTGTTTGCACTCGTTCTTTCACTGCTCGCCTTCGCCGTCATTGCCACTTCCTCCTCCTCTCGCCACTCGTTCTTTCCGTGTCGCTGCATCCTTTGTCAGATTTCCGTGTCGCTGCATCCTTTGTCAGATTTCCGTGTCGCTGCATCCTTTGTCAGATTTCCGTGTCGCTGCATCCTTTGTCAGATTTCCGTGTCGCTGCATCCTTTGTCAGATTTCCGTGTCGCTGCATCCTTTGTCAGATTTTCGTGTCGCTGCATCCTTTGTCAGATTTTCGTGTCGCTGCATCCTTTGTCAGATTTCCGTGTCGCTGCATCCTTTGTCAGATTTCCGTGTCGCTGCAATCTTTGTCAGATTTCCATATCGCTGCATCCTTTGTCAGATTTCCGTGTCGCTGCATCCTTTGTCAGATTTCCGTGTCGCTGCATCCTTTGTCAGATTTCCGTGTCGCTGCATCCTTTGTCAGATTTCCGTGTCGCTGCAATCTTTGTCAGATTTCCGTATCGCTGCATCCTTTGTCAGATTTCCGTATCGCTGCATTCTTTGTCCAATTTCCGTATCGCTACATTCTTCAGTCCTTCATTTTCTCCTTAATCATCTCTCTCTTAGGCATGCGGGGGAGCGAGCGTGTTGGGATGACGCACGGCCGGCAGTCACAGGCGTGTGGCTGCCTCCTACCCGCCCTGCTGACCACGCGCTTGGAGGCGAGGAGCAGGCGAGGAGACAGCGCTGCGTCTTTCTCCCACGTGTGCTGGCTTCTCCCCCTGCGTCCATGGGGTGAGGCGGAGGAACGAGATGGAGAGACTGACGGGCTGGCTGAGGCGATTACAAGGAGGGGTGCTGTTGAATGGAGAGTGAGCGCCATGCAGTGACGAGGGGCAGACGGACTCGATCATTTGAGAGTGGGGGGGGCCCCAGCTCTCTCTTGGTCTTGTCCTGAAGCACGGGGCCCACCCTCGGCCTCTGCGGCTACTCACATACCTCCAGCACCTTGGCCCTTGGATCTGTCCTCTTCCATGCCTCTGTCTCACGTCCTCCTGACCCGCACTCCGTCCTCACTCCCCCCCCTTCCATTCCCTTCAGCACGTGGGGCGAGGAGGGCGAGGGGGCAGCGCGGCGGGGCAGCAAGAGGACTTCTCTGCTTAATCCCCGCCTTCCTTTCCTTCAGGGCTTCACGTGGGGCGAGGAGGGCGATGGGGCAGCGCGCGCGCATCAAGTGGCGTCCCTCTGGTTAACCCCCCCCTTCCATTCCCTTCAGTATGGTGGGCAGCGTGGAGACGACACGGCGGGCGGCACGGACGGAGGTGAGGTGCTGCTCCATCGCTGCAGCGGGGTAAGCCTCTCTTCCCTTGTCCGTTTCCGCCTTGCTTTCTTTCTGTTTTTTGCATTTCATGTATTTATCGTGCATGTTTCACTTGATCCTTTTCTTCCGTTTGTCTCTCTACCCCCCACCCCCCTTCCATTCCCTTTAGATCTACTCGTGGGACGAGGAGGGCGACGGGGCAGCGCGCGCGCATCAAGAGGCGTCCCTCTGGTTAACCCCCCCCTTCCATTCCCTTCAGCATGGCGGGCAGCGTGGAGACGACGTGGCGGGCGGCACGGACGGAGGTGAGGTGCTGCTCCATCGCTGCAGCGGGGTAAGCCTCTCTTCCCTTGTCCGTTTCCGCCTTGCTTTCTTTCTGTTTTTTGCATTTCATGTATTTGTCGTGCATGTTTCACTTGATCCTTTTCTTCCGTTTGTCTCTCTACCCCCCACCCCCCTCCCCTTCCCTTTAGGTCTACTCGTGGGGCGAGGAGGGCGACGGGGCAGCGCGCGCGCATCAAGAGGCGTCCCTCTGGTTAACCCCCCCCTTCCATTCCCTTCAGCATGGCGGGCAGCGTGGAGACGACACGGCGGGCGGCACGGGCGGAGGTGAGGTGCTGAACCATCGCTGCAGCGGGGTAAGCCTCTTCCCTTGTCCGCCTTGCTTTTTTCTCAGATTTGTCTTGCTTTCTTTCTGTTTTTCCGCGTTACATGTATTCGTTGTGCCTGTTTCACTTGATCGTGTGTTGTGTTTGTCTTGTGTTGTGTGTCGCTCTGCAGCTGGCAGGGTCCAAGACCGAAGACCGCCTCCGACTGCGGCATAGGTGTTGTGCGGCAGGGGTTGCTGACGGCGTTGGGACGGACGCCTCCCGCGCCTGAAGCGCCCCTGTGTGTGAGTTGAGTGTTCTGACGAGGGATGGGGGGACGCTCCCTGAACTCGGATGGCCTCCTCACCCCGCCTTCACCTGGCCAGGTGTTACGCCACCTGGTCTGAGTTGGGCTTGTGGGACGCTGCAGCCCGGCTCGTGTCGTTTAGGGGCTGCGGACCCACACGAAGGGTCCCCACCTCAACGTGGTGTGTGGGTGTAACACTAGGGGTTAACCCCCCTAGTGGCCAAGAGGGGCCCAGAAGACCGAAGACAGTGGGAGCTCTATAATTGCTTAAATGATATTACTACTAGACCTAGGTACCTAGTATATGATATTACTATTTGAGGGTAGATTCATGCATGTTTTAGAATCTAGATCAGACAAACATAACCACCACAGACATTTAAATGCATAGGATTCAGATGCTAGCGTTTCAGGGAATTGATACAATTACCATGCAACAGTGCACTTGAAATAGTGACATGTATCAGAGGTCTAATTTGCAACAGATGCCACAGAGAAAAGAGCTTGATCTAGTTTACATTCAACAAAGGACTTAGGTAATTTAACATACACCGAACACTAGTTGCAGTAGAGCAGAGGCGCACATAAACAGTGGCCTCTCTGATGCTGCTGTGCTGACGCTAAGCTTTTTCCCCGACTCTATACCCTGTACTGCACATCTCCCCTCTGCTACAGCCGAGTGCAGGCAAAGTCAAAGTCGTCAGGAGCGAGCCGCGTGAGCCAGTTGCTGAGCGTGCTCTTGGCGTTGAGCGTATCAGACGCCGCCAGTTCGTACATGGAGCACAGGTTGAGCACCACTGTCTCGTCGACAGCTGTCAGCGGGCTCGCCTGCAATTGGTCCTCCAGCACCCGCACCGCCGTCGCGAGATCTCGGCCGTACATCAGGCAGAGGGCCTGCTTGGCAGGGTTGTGGGGATGAAGGGGTGTGGAGAGGGATGAACAGGGATGATGTGGGATGAAGAGGGTAGGTGGAACCATGTAAAAGATAACAAAAGGAGGATACCCTTCATTGTAACATGGTTACCACAGCACCTGTAAATTGTGAAGTGCCTTCTGCATCAGCTGAATCACCTAATTACCCCACCATGAAACCTGGCTACCACATTGTCTCACCTTGTTATTCGCAGCAATGGATTTGGTGGAATCCACTTTAGTCACCGCATTGTGCGTTTTGAAATGACTGAATCACCTAGCTTTCTCACCATGTAACAGGGTTACCACATTGTCTCACCTTGTTATTCGCAGCAATGGAGTTGGTAGGGTCCTCTTTAGTCACCGCAGTGAACAGCTGCAGTGCCTGCCCGTGCTCCTTGCGAGCAAAGTGCACCAGAGCCTTGTTCAGCCGCACCAGCCGCTTCATCTCCCCCACATTTGCTGCTGTCACCCCCCCTGCCCCCACACCCCCATCGCTCCCTCCTCCTCCTGCTCCTGTTGCTCCTGCTCCTGCTCCTGCTTCTGCTCCAGCTGTGTTACTCGCATTTCCTGCTGTCTCTCCTCCTCCTCCTCCTCCTCCTCCTCCTCCCTCCCCCGCCCCCTCCTCCCCTCCTCCCCCACTCCCCCCCTCACTCTCCATCTCCACCTCGCGATGCACCACCATCTTCTCCACCAATCCGAACGCAGCGCTCGCGCCCTCCACGTCCCCCAGCTGCAGCCGAACGAGGCCGTACCGCGAGAGCAGGGCGGCGTTGCTCGGCTCGTAGCGCAGGAGCCGCTGCAGCCAGAGGAGCGCGGTGGGGTAGTCTCGCTGCGCCAGGTGGTGGGATACGAGCGCGTGCCGCACTGCCTGCCACCTGCGCGCCCAACACGCCACCAACGCCGCATGCTGTGATGCGGCCGCTGCTGATGGTGCGGATGCTGCTGATGTGGTTGCTGGAGACTTGCCCTTTGTGTTGCTGCCGCTGGTTGCTCGCTGGTTGCCATCGCCTGCATCAGTGGTGTTGGCATGTGAAGATACGCCTTCACCATCCTCTGGCGCCATCACATCTGCCATCCCTTTTCTTGTCTCTGCGCTCGTGTTCTTGCCTGTACCGATGCTGCTGCCTGCATGCGCTGCTGTCCCCTGCGTTGCCTGCTTCTCTGCTGCCATTCGCCCCTGCACCTCCTTCATCTGCCATTAACACAGCAACGCAGACACACAGATTGACTGTGTGAGCCCTGCTGAGGTAAAACCGCAGAAATTAAAATGCATGCAGAAATGTGTAGGTGCCAAGGGGCAATTCACACTCCCACAGCACAGCACATCCACCTTGCTAGTGCAGTACGCTCTATGTTCCCGTACCCCTTCACAGTGCAGTACCCCTTCACAGTGCAGTACCCCTTCACAGCACACAGCCGCTCGAATGAGAATGCGGGATTGCCCATGCGGTGGGACACCTCTTGAGAACACCATACTCACACGCACAAACCACAGCACCCACCTTCACCGTGCAGTACGCCTGTACACCCACCTTAGCTGTGCAGTACGCCTGCAGAGCGCAAAGTCGCTCCAATGTGAGTGCAGGATTTCCCATGCGGTGGGGCAGCTCTGCTGCGAGCCAGCGCAGGGCGAAGGGTAGCATGGAGCCTGGAGTGGGTGGGCGAGGGGAGGGGAGGAAAGGCAGTGCGGGGAGGGATGGAAGAGAGGATGGGGCGCAGACATGGCATTGCCCATGCGGTGGGGCAGCTCTGCTGCGAGCCAGCGCAGGGCGAAGGGTAGCATGGAGCCTGCAGTGGGGGTGGGAGGGGGCAGTACGGGGAGGGATAAGGGCAGTGCCGAGGGAGAGGGGGAGGGGACATTGGAGTTCCCATGCGGTGGGGCAGCTCTGCTGCAAGCCAGCGCAGGGCGAAGGGAAGCATGGAGCCTGCAGGAGGGAAAAGGAGGGGAGGGGGAGAGCGGGAGAAGGCAGTGCCGGGAGGGACGGGAGTGAGGCAGAGAACAAGGGGCGGAAACGTCACACTGCACATGCGGCACACTGCACTGCACTGAACAAGGGGCAACTCTGCCCGCACGCTGAACTCTTCTGATGCACCTCTGCAACCAGAGTACATGCCTGGGTGTGCCTCATAGCGATACTGTGGCGAGTCTACGTTGCCACGATCTCCCTTCACAAGAGAACCACGCAGCACCCACCTTTCCTCCCGGGGTACATGCCAGGGTGAGCCTCGTAGCGGTACTGCGGCGAATCAAGGTTGCCCAGCAGTGTGAGCTCCTCTGCCGCTGCCCCGTACATGCGCAGCTTCATCAGCGCCAGCACGTGGTAACCGCGTAACGCCAGCTGCTGCGCCAGCCCCGCCAGCTTGTACCCCTCCACCACCTTGTCCACTATTGCCCGCCACGAGCCCTGCCGCTGGTGGTTGCAGCATGGAAAGTACAGGAAACAGATGACACACGTGATGCGGCATTTAAGAGTCAGTATGAGCCAGCCCTGCCAGCTTGCATCCCTCCACCACCTTGTCCACTATTGCCCGCCCTCATCCTTGCCTCGGTTGGTGAAACAACAATGCGGCGAGAGGAGAGTCGAGTGGGCATGCCCAACCCTCCACGTATATGAAGAAGTGTTTTGAGACGTCTCAAAACACTTCTTCATACAACCCTCCACCGCCCTGTCCACTATCGCCCGCCACGAGCCTTGCCTCTGGAAATTGCATTCAGACAATGCAAGGCAAGGGAGCAAGGGAGGGTGGGTATGAGTGTTGCCATGGCCAGGCCCCCCAGCTTGTACCCACCTCCATTTCCACTCCACCACCTTGTCCATCATCGCCCGCCACGAGCCTTGCCTCTGGAAATTGCATTCAGACAATGCAAGGCAAGGGAGCAAGGGAGGGTGGGTATGAGTGTTGCCATGGCCAGGCCCCCCAGCTTGTACCCACCTCCATTTCCACTCCACCACCTTGTCCATCATCGCCCGCCACGAGCCTTGCCTCTGGAAATTGCATTCAGACAATGCAAGGCAAGGGAGCAAGGGAGGGTGGGTATGAGTGTTGCCATGGCCAGGCCCCCCAGCTTGTACCCACCTCCATTTCCACTCCACCACCTTGTCCACTATCGCCCGCCACGAGCCTTGCCTCTGGTTGTTGAGGAGAAAAAGAGTTCAGCATTCATGCAATGGAAAATGGCAAGGCAAGGCAGCAAATGGAGGGTGGGGATGAGAGGCGACATGCCCAACCCGCTAGCTTGTATCCTTCTACTACCACCTTGTCCATTATCGCCCGCCACGAGCCATGCCTCTGGTGATGTGATTGTAGAAAACCAAAGTTGATGATGCGTGCAAGGCAAGGCAATGAAAGGTAGCAAGGGAGCAAGTGGAGGGTGGGAATGAGTGTCACCATGCCCAACCTGCCAGCTTGTACCCCTCCACCACCTTGTCCACTATGGTCTGCCATGAGGCTTGCCGCTTGTTAGGTGAGAAAGAAATAATGATGCAACGCCATGACATGCCATGCCATGCAATGCAAACCATGCCATGCAACGCATGCCATGCCAAGAGAACCGTCAGTAGGGATCGAACACAACAGAGCTTGTGCCGAAGGCCTTACAAACTGCAGCGAGCACAGCTTACAGCAAGTACAGCTTGAAACGAATACACCTTATAGCGAGCACAACTTACAGCGAGTACAGCAAGGCCGTCCAGGGAGGTCTTAACGTCAAGGCTGGACATGCGGCGAAAGCTGACCGGTGGGGATGAGCGCGCTGCAAACGCACTGCTGCCGCTACTGCCGCCACTGCTAGTGGTGGTAGTGGTGCTGATGCCAGTGGCACCAATGGCAGTGGTGCTGCTGCTGCTTGTAGTGGTGGTAGTGGTGGTAGTGATGGTGCTGCTGGTGGTGGTGTTGGAAGCAGGAGGAGCGCCTGAACCTGCCATTAACGCCCCTCCCGCTGCACCCACCCCTCCCCTTCCCCCTGCTGCTGCCCCTCCTGCTGCTCCCCCAGTTGCCCCCCCTGCGGGCTTGGCAGTGCCAGGGGGGCCTTGCGGGGGAGGTCTGTACCCGGGCGGGGGGTGAGTGGGGCGCGATAGTGACGGGTGTGACTGTGGCGCGTGTGACAGTGGCGGGTGTGACAGTGGCGGGTGGGATAGAGGGTGGGGAAGCGATGGGGGAGGGTGAGAGGGAGGGGGGTGGGAGGGCAAGGAGCGTGACGGGGGGGAGTGCGGAGGAGGGGGTTGAAACGGCGGGTGTGATTGTAGCGGGTGTGAGCTGGGGGGGTGTGATTGCGGGTGGGAGATGGGAGGGGCGGAGAGAGGGCCGCGCGCGGAGAGCGGGGAGTGCGGCGCAGGCCCAGGTGCAGGCGCTGGTCCGCGGAAGGGCGGATGGGTGGCACCGGCGGGAGGCGGGGGGGTGGGGGATTTCCGCTGGTGCGCGTCGAGCGCGTGCGGGGCGTGCGGCGCAGAGGGGCGGAGCGGAGACGAGTGCGAATAAGACATCATGTGAGCGGAAAATCCGCTCGGGTGATGCGCGCCCGGTCGTTGTGACGAATCGTGCTTATAATGAGGATCCGACGCAAGGTGCGGATCAGCTTTCGTGGGAGATCTGGGTCCATGCGAACCGCCTGCAGTCATTGGCGACGAGTGGTAACCAGCGCTGGCGACAGTTTGAACGCTAGTAGGCCCACTCTGAAGCCCAGGTAACCCTAATCCACTCCCCGCGGACGCCGCCACTGGTGCCGCCATCGGTGCCGCTAGCGGGGCAGCTACAGCCGCCGCTGCCGCCGGCGCAACTCCACCGCCGTCAACGGCGGATGCGGGAGGCGGAGAAAGCGGAATCCCCGCCCCCTGCGCAATTTGCGCCAAATGGTCATTTCCGCTTCCCCCATCTGTCGCCTGCGCTTCCGCAGTTCCCCCCAACGCCTGCACTTCCCCGCTTCCTCCAAGCGCCTGCACCTCCCCCCAGAAATCCATCCCCGCATCCGCACCCCCCCCGCCCTCCGCCTCCCCCCAGAACGAATCGCTGTTTTCCGCCGCAGACTTTCCGCTCGCCTCCAATGCCCGGTCTGACGACGGTTTAGTCTCCGCGACGCTCGCCGTGAGCCCCGGATTTAGCGACGCTTTGGCCTCCTCCGCCGCAGAAGACGGCGGGTTCTGCGCTGAGAGGAAACCGCTGGTTCCTGACTGGAAGTCCCCCCAGTCGCCCTCCATTGGCGGGAGTTTATAACAAGAAACCTACTGAGGATTCCCACTGAGATTCTTATTTTACCTTGAACAGCTACCACTAGGTGAAAATAAGTGTCACTGCGCTAGTGATGCAGGAAACTGGAACTAATCTGGTACATACGAGAGTCTCGGTTCTGCTCCAGAAGAAATTGGATTCGAGTGATGGTCGCTTTTTGACACGAGCTCTGGGACTGACACGAATTTCGTACTGTGTCAGGGAAGGCAGAACCTTCTAGTACGGTGTCAGCGATCACGAAACCAGGGTAACAATACTTTCGCTCAGCGACAGTCAGTTACACGACTGCATTGGACTGGTCTGGTGGTCGAGTTTCTGATTTCGCGAGCGCCAGCAGATCACGAGTTCCACTGACGGCTCTCAGGCAAATTTCGCTTATTTCGTTTGTTTTCCAGAAGAACACAACCGCAACAGTCGGAGATGGTTACGTTTAGCTGTTCGCGATGGCGTGATCGTCCGAACTCCCGAAAACGCAGACACACGAGCCTTGTTGGCAGTGTCGCCAAAAACAGGGCTGACACGTTTTTGGCGGTAATCGTGCCAGCCTGACACAAGTGAGACAATTTCAAGGCGATTCCTGAGACAACGGAACCTGAAACCCGTGCAACCAATCAGGTTCCAGAATGGCATCCGCCGTCGCGTCAGTGGCTACTGCGGCTGCTTCCTGCGCGGAATTGACGCGCAGAGGTAGCGGCAGAGGGAGCAGCAGAGGTAGTAGCAGCAGCGGGAGCTTAGCGTGCAGCAGCAGGAGCAACGCCAGCGCGAGTTTTGAGTCTGCTGCTACGCGCTGCGCTCCCGACGCTGTTTCTCAAGGAAGCCTCGGCGCGCGTCTGCTGCGCCACTCGGAGCGGCGATGCGTGGTAGTCTCGGCAGCGGCGGATTCGACGGGCGTAGAATGGGACGATCAGGGGCCGTCCGATGTGAATCCGACGGACCTGACTGATAGCGAGGATGAGAGGCGGAGGGACGCGGGGTGGAGGGGAGGGAGGAGCGAGGAGGAGCGAGCGCAGAGCGACAGCAGACAGAAGATCTCCAATAATATCGCTCCCATGTATGACGACGTGAGTACTGCGCGTCGCGTGAGTCATGCGAGTCATTTGAGTCATTTGAGTCATGCGAGTCGTGCGAGTCATGCGAGTAAACTGCGTCTGTGTGGCGTCTCCCTTCTCCTGCTGTCCTCTCCATCAGAACCACACAGAACCGCTCTCACACACATACGTCTCCATCTTACGCAGGCAGGAGGCGTGTCAGTCATGCTCCATCATGCTCCATCATGCTCCATCATGCTCCATCATGCTCCATCATGCTCTTGGCTCCACCACCGACCACGTCTTCCCCCTTACCCCTCCTTTCCTCTCCTGGTACCAAGGGGTTCAACCTGGGTCAATTTCTGTCGCAACTTCTACCGTACGTGGTGCTGGCGACGGCGGTGTCGGCGCTGACGTGGCCGGCGACGTTCTCGTGGTTCAGCAAGCGGTACTACGCGCCCGCACTGGGCGGCATCATGCTATCCATCGGCGTGCAGCTGTCCGTCGAAGATTTCAAGGCCGCCATTGAAAAGTAAGATCTCGCACCGTGCGGCTCGACTGGCCTGGAATGAACTGACCAACTCTTTTCGTTCTGCACCGTGCTTCTCTCTTCTGTGGCTTATCTGGATTTAATTCTTCCAACGAAATTAAAACAAATGCCTACTCGCTTGGCTCCGTCAGTCTGTCCCTCAGTCCCGTTCGTCAGTCTGTCTGCTCTCTGCCTCTCTGGTTTGCTCTAGCACCAGTGCTCACTGCTGTCCCCCCCTTCTCCCCTCTCCTCCCGCTCTTCCCCCCGCCAGGCCTGTGCCCGTCGCCCTGGGTCTCCTAGTGCAGTACGCTGCCAAGCCGCTCATCGCGGCCGCCATAGCCGCCACCTTCCGCCTGCCGCCCGCGTTCGCCGCCGGCTTCCTCCTCACCGCCAGCGTGTCCGGCGCGCAGCTCTCCAGCTACGCGTCCTACCTGGCAAAGGCTGACGTGGCGCTCTGCATCGTGCTGACCAGCCTCAGCACCTTCGCCTCCATGGCACTCACGCCCATCCTCACCTCGCTCCTGATTGGCTCAGCCGTCCCCGTCGACCTCCTAGCCATGTCCAAATCCATCCTGCAAGTCGTCATCCTCCCCGTCTCCCTCGGCCTCATCCTCAACACCTACGCGCGGAAATTTGTCGACCAAATTCGACCAATCATGCCGCTACTAGCCATAGTCTGCACTTCTCTCTGCATAGGCAGCCCTCTAGCCATCAACCAGCCCCAGATCGTCTGCCTAAGCGGCCTCCTGCTGCTCCCGCCGGTCCTCGCCTTCCACCTCGCGTCCTGCGCCGCTGGGTTCTGGTCCGCGAAGCTTCCTGGAATGGGGCAGAGCGATGACGTGGCGAGGACTTTATCTCTATGCGGTGGCATGCAGAGCAGCGTTCTTGCCATGCTGCTGGCATCGCAGTTCCTAGGGTCCACCCACACTGTGCCGGCCTCCGTATCTGTTGTGCTCATGTCTATCATTGGGCTCAGCCTGGGAAGCTTCTGGGGGTCGGGAAGGAAGCTTCTGGACTGGAACATGGCTGGGCCAGTTGTGGGGGCCCAGGAATATGCTGCTCCTACTGACGCGTAGCGGGGGGAGCAATGCCAGAGTATACATTAGAGAATGACCGGAGTTCTGCAGCGTTGTTAGCAGGATAGCTTATCGCAGCTGCACAGGAGAGCGCAAACTGGAAGGTGGACTGAAGACAAGTGCCAGTATCGGGAAGGAGAACATCTGTTAGTTGCTGCCTGTCACGTATAGTGTTGGTGGCCATTCTTTTCGGCATGATTGGTGATCTGCAGCCATTTACATACATTTAGCTGTGCATTGGTTGGTGCTGTCATTGAAGCGGTCTAGGTTAATTTCTAATATTGGTTTTGACATAAAGCAATATACGGTACAGTGTAAACAGCCAGCTGCTCATTGCACCAACATGTTTTATAGCATAGCAAGTTGGTTGTGTTGCAAACATTTTTCCGATACCACGTGTTATGAGTTGTAATGGAGAGTGCGCGGAATAACGAATAACGAAGCTGTGACTTAATGAACTGTCAATTACAATGAAGGCACGCGACTATATAGTGAATACCCTAGCTAGGAGGGAACCTCGGGAAACGAGGTTGGGTGCAGGTTTGGCGACGGAAATCTCAGAATAGGAATGCAACAGAATGATTGGAATTAGGGTTTGCAAGGGTACAAATAGGAATCCTACAAAAGCTATACTATCTAGGGAGTACCTCACTGCAGCCTATCATAACATTGACATTTGACACACCCCCATAGGCTAAGTGAGGGACATCAGAGCAAGCAAGGTGAAACAAACGGTCACAAGACCAGTCAAGGCAAGAAGCAAGGCAAGCTCAGGGTGGATCTCAAGGACACCACACAAATTCCGAGCAGAAGCAAGCGGCCACAAGGCCAGTTCAAGAGTTCACTAGGATATAAATAGGAAAACACAACAAGCAGAGCAAGCAACAAGACTACAGCAACCGAGGGCCTACCTCAACAAGCCCCAACTGCACACAGAACCTGTGGTGATCACCAAGCGCCAAGGCCTTGGTGAAGACGTCTGCAGTGTTGGCCTCTGAGGCCACAAAGTCCAGTCGAGCCTGGCCGCGTCGCTGCAACTCTCGCAGGAGGAAGTACCTCACGTCAATATGCTTCACTCTGCTCTCCAGTCGAGGCTCTCGACACAGGAGGATCATGGCCTTGTTGTCAGCGTACAAGGTCGGTGCAGAGAGAGGCCGCTCACCAAGGTCGGCGAGCAAGAAGGTCAACCAGCGAAGCTCCTGTGCCGCCATGGCACCCGCGTAGATCTCTGCCTCTGCACTGGAAGTAGCCACAGACGACGACCGAGTAGACCTCCACGACACAGCACCAGCTCCCAGACTGAAGCAGTAACCCTGAGTCGAGCGCTGAGTCTCCACGTCGTCAGCGTAGGAAGAGTCGCAGTGACCAGTCAACGCCACTGCCTGAGTCCCTCCAAGCACAAGCCTCATGCCTGATGTAGTCGCCAGGTACTTCGCCACCCTCACAGCAGCTGTCCAGTGGACAGGACGGTGTCTCCCAGTCGCAACAAAGCGAGAAAGGATGCTGAGGGGAAAGGCGAGGTCCGGCCGAGTACAAGTCATCAGGTACATGAGGCAGCCCACCAGCTCTGCGTAGGGGCCACTGGACTCAAAGGGCTCGTCAGGAAAGGGGCCCGTGAGTCTGTGGTC